AAGTCTATCTATTGCTGTCAGATCGTAAAGGGAGGCAAATCAAGTCGAAGATGTGTGATATTTCTAGGTTTTAAGGAAAAGTTTTTATCAGCATCCTTGCAGGTCCTCTATAAAATATTTCGGTTGCACTGCATATTGTCATAAGTAAATGAAAGTCATCTCGTATTGTTCAACGTGCTTTTTGTTATATTACAGCTGACGTTTTTACGGGAAGTTGGAACCTTTTGGTGTAAATATCTAATTATTAATGTGAATATATACACAGTATTACTGCTTTTTTGATTTGTTAAGATTTATTTCAAATTCTCGTGTAAACATGAGTAATCAAGATTTGATCGGAATATAAAACGAAACTCAGACAGTATATTATTTAATTGGGCGTATCGTGTTGGTGCAAAGATATCTCTATGCAAAGATGATGGCTCTTAATTCAAAATTCATCGGGGAAAATTGTGGGGTCTCAGGAAAGAACCATCGATGTGCAGGTTCCAAATCTTTGTATCACATTTCACAGTTTGTTGCCAATCGTTTCAAATTAACTTTCTGTGAAACAGCTTGAAAACAAACCAGTGGGTTTGACAAGGATATAAAATGATTATTTTTTCTTTGACATGATTCTGATCGCGAGCGGCGGGAGATGTGACGGTCTTTTATATGGTTCGGTTCTCCGGAAAGAGTTCTTGTAGAGAAGCCATTGTTATCCCGCAGAAAATCATGATTGTACATATGATTGGTCATAATACGGTCACAGTTGTCGACGGCGGTTCCTTTCAGTATGTAAATAAAGTGAAAATAACGCGTGTAATTGGATTATCTTGTCAAAATTAAAGATGCATTTATTTCTATACCATGTTTCAGTTTTTGATCACGTGGGTCTTCTCACTGGATCCTTTAGTAACAAGAGGGAATACGAGATTGACACGATTTGGTGATACATTGAACCGAAAAAAATAATCAAAACTGGTCAACAGCTTGTTTAAATGAGTTTGTTTTTAAATGAAATTCAAGCTAAAATCTTTTCTTAAAATTCAGGTTTAACACTTTGTTCAAAACACATTTTTTCTAGGATAATATATCTATAAGTTCTTGTTTAAGACATTGCATAAAATCATAAGGTGCACTATGTACCTGCTACAATTTACCCTGCTTATTATAAAAATCTTATAGAAGAATTTTAACCACGTGCACCTACTAGTTTATGTTATCAGGTACAAGCAAGTGCAAACTATCAAAACAAATTGTACAAATTGCAAACAAACAATTAATAAACCCTTTTTTACGTTATAAGAAACTTTGCATTTGGCCTTCTTTTATTAGGATTTCACCTTGAATGTATAAATTTTTCTTCCCTAGTCATAAAGCAACATTATTCAGAAAATATGTCTGATTTAACTTTAAAGGAATTTTTATTGATTTCAGCTTCGGATATTGTTAAATATCAGCCTTCTCAACTCGATTTGAAGAGATTCGAACTAGAATTACACTTTATTTGTTTTACTCAAGTTTTGTATTTTCGGATCCAATCCATTTCTTTCCTTCACCAGATGAAATCCTTTGTTGATTGTTATTCTATGTATCTGAAAGTGTAATTTCAATGGGAATAATTGGTTAATTCATTGAAATCCATTCCTTCTTAAGAATACTCTAAAAATCAACGAACCTTTTTAACTTTTTTTATTAACCAATTATTTACTCAAACCTCTTCTGCATAATGTCGTCATTTTTAATAGTGAAGTAAAAATCAGGAATTAAATCCAAATTTCATTTGAGTAATCTTGTTTTTCTTTCTCGAAAATTCAAGGCTCCTTTTTTTTTTTTACTTTACCCCATATAAGTGTGTACTTTGGAGCAGAAAAAAAATAGTCGAACACAAAATTCCCGTGCCTCTATGCGTATTTCAATGACCGCTGAATCATTTTGACCCAGTATTCAACTCGTGTGGCAAAATAAAAAATACAAATCCCCCCACTTCAGCACGCATATACCAATCTTAAAACTTTTTAAATCGGCCTACAGATATAATTTATGAGAAATGTGATATATGTTAATAGAAGAGAAGGTGGGGTAAATATGAAAAGATATCACGTATGAAATATAAGATACGCGGATGATATTGCCCTAAAAAATAAGCTTTTCGTCGATCGTACAGGAAGACATTCCATCAAATTTCATGTCTGTTTATCAGAAAAAAACTGATCTGAAAATTGAGATACTTTATGTTTTATCTGATTTGATATAAATATATACAAAACTAATAAAAGAAAAATTCTATTTTTAATGACAATGTTCTTTTAACAAATTCATGAATTTGCAATTTTCCCTAATTTCCTTTTCTTTTTAATTACATAAAAATTTCACAACTGCAACCTGTTTGGCGTATGGAACTTTTTAAGTTAGCATTATTGTAAAATATTGTTCTTGACTTTTAATTCTTTCTCAAAATTGAAATTCCTCGTTTGTTGTCTCAAAAACACTCGATGTTATAGAATCGACGTAGGGTGAAGTCGTGCAGAATTTCCTAGACGGCGGAGATTCAGATAGCTTCCTTCTAAAACTACTAGAAACATAATTAATCACAGTGATAGGGGGTTATACATTGGAGTCTAGACGATGAAAATAAGGTATATGTTATGAACATGAACAGGTTCAAAATCATTAGTGAAACACCTAATTTCTTCAAAGTACTTAATTTTTTTAAAAAATCAATTAATGTATAGATGAAGGCCACTTTTCCCCCTTTAATATCATATTCAACCTAAAAAAAATATGCCATCGACATGTTACGATGTTTTCCCTCTCAAATTTATATAACATAGATTAATATAGTTAACCGCCAATAAAATAATTGAAATTCTGTAGATTTTTCTGACTATGGAAATCATACTTGAAAAAATAAGTTAGGAGGAATGGCTTGCCCTATACCAAAAAATCCAGTGAAAACGAAAGTCACTTACAAAGGAAGTGAGTGACATATGTGTAAAAGGACCACCCAATATTCTATGTGTTGCACAAAGGCGTTCGTAAATTATCTTGCTCCTGTATTTTATCGCAAACGTCCTTTTTTTACTTTAATCTGGAACCTCTCGTTGTATTTTTTCTTATACCCTTGTTCACTGCCATATTTTCGTTAGATGGTAGCTACTCTTTAGAACAAGAGAAGTCACCCTTTTTCATATTAAGTGGAACTGAAGTATTAGATATATAGATATGAAGAGGCATAAATAATATAGTTCATGGCTTTTCGCCTCATTCACAGCTTTCAATGAGATAGACAACCTGCCTTAAGCCAGAAATCTTATTTTAGGAGTTAAGGGAATTTAGAAGTTTTAATCCGCAATTTGATGCTTGTCTTCAAATTGACAACAATTTAAGTATGTCATATACTCATTTGATTTATGAATCCGGCTTTTATATCTGTAATTTTTTAAATCTTAACCATATTTATTTTTTTCAGACATATGTTTTGTACATATTTTTTACGATATGTTGTATGTTTAACATAGATTTTTTTTTAATTTTTGTGAATGAAATCTTAAAAAAGAATTTAGAAAAAACGGCGCACCATGTGCAGTCAAACGGTTATTTTATCACACGTTTCAAATCCACACGGTGGTTTAGTCATTGTAAAAACATTGCTTTGGACGCGCAAGATGCGAGGAAAATTCCACGCAACCTCGCCTGCTCTCCATCAGCGATTCTCCTTCTGTTCTCCATCTTTTAGCAAACTCTGATGGGCTTTGCAAATTTCCATCTGGAAGCATGCGCAATACATCAGCGGAACACCGACGCGCTCGGTTCCTGACATTTTTACCCCTGTATATATAAAAAATGAAAATTATTTTAAAATTTGATATATTTTCAACCAACTGTTACAAATATTTAGCGGAAAGGTATCAGACGATTATATGCGCTTGGTACAGTATTTAAGGATACATGTGAAAGCAAGTTTTGAAGAAAAATTATTATAGCCTAGACTAACTACACTTGTACTGTTGTACTGACATCTTTTAATCAAGAAAGCACACACACATTTCATTGTGCGTATTATAATAATTATTATTTATGTTGCTTCTTGATTTTTAGTTACTCTTTTAAGTCAATATTTAATGGGAAACGAGCTTTACTAGGCAATCTCTTAACAGCACATTATTTTGAGACAACAAACATTTTAAATTATTGAGCTACATTTTATGATTCATACTTAAGAATAAAAATTACAAATTCGTGAGTCTGAGGGACGAAATGATTATATTTTTCTTCTAGATAGCTAAATCATTGTATTGACCAATACGACAATAATTGGTTTGCTAAACGATTTAATCAGTAAATTATACATGTACAAACTCGATTGTAAGGCAAAGCTCGCCGTCTATCTTGGTTGTTTACGTCTGTTGTAAAAAGTCTAATTCGAAGGCAGTGAAAAGGGGCACATTTCGTTAGTTGACAAATAAAACATCAATTTTATCAAATTTGATGTTCTTTGTATATATTTTTGGTTCAAATTAGAAAAAATCAAATTACATATTCATCTGGAAATTTTGGTACATATGAATATAATTGTTTTTTGTATTAGTCTATCACAGGGTTAGAAATCATTAATTAAATCGTATAATATTTTTTCAATTATTTTTAGATTGAGGTACATTTCAGCCTATCAAGGGCCAAGGGATATTTTAAAAAATATTACAGTAAGACTTGTCTAATCCGGAAGTTGAGTAATCCGAAATCTTGTTTAATACGATGTTTACTAAGTCCTTGCAGTAAATTCAGTTTGTTTTAAATGTTGTCTTATCCTGTCAATTTTTTGTAGCCAATATTGTCCGAAGTAGACAAGTCTTACTATATTTTAATTATTTCTAGTTTATATTTAAAAACAAAATTTATTTAGGGAAAGGCAGGAATGTGCAATTTTACAGAAGGAAGTGGTTCCATCAAGTTACAGGATATCTTTGGTTTGCCACCAATTAATTCATGAAGTGCTTTCAATTTGTATGTTTCAGCTTGTAATTGCAATCTTCACGCCCGCCGTTGCCGTTTTAACATTGGTCTGTACACACTCTCTGGACAAAAGAGCGGTGGGGTGTGCATCAAGTGCCGCCATAATACGGCTGGCCGTAACTGCAATTATTGTCGCCAGGGATATTACCGAGACCCTCAAAAACTGATTACGCACCGTAAAGCGTGCAAAGGTAAGAAAATTTTGATTCCAGCCATATTAAAAGTGTTGTATTCATTTTTATTTTGCAGCATGTAATTGTAATTTGCATGCGAGACGCTGTCACTTCAATAGGGAGTTGTACCTCCTTTCTGGGCAAAAGAGTGGAGGAGTGTGCCTCCGCTGCAAACACAACACGGCCGGGCGGTTTTGCCACTATTGTCGAGAAGGGTACTACCGCGACCCCACAAAAACTCTAACTGATAGAAGAGCGTGTAAAGGTAGGGGTGTCGTACGCACCGTAGTCTTAAACACACAGCACCTTGCACTTATTCAGAGGCTCAATCGGACTAACGCAAAAATGAATTCTTGACACTGTCAGAGATTAGAACTCTGCTTAAGCTCCGTTTGAACCTCTTTGCACTTCTATCTTTCCACTTTGGTGCCGGCACTATTTTTTTCTGTTTGCTTTTTGAATAAGTGAAACTCTTGCTTTTAATTTTGGGTTAGAGATTTAAAACCTTTAACATAGTGCGACTGCTTCTTCTATAGCTGTTTATAATATAAATGTATAACAGCATCAACACGTAAACTTTTTATTTTGATTTATTTATATACACCTTGACTGCATATTGAGTTTCAAACTAAAGCCTGTAATATTATCACCCAATTTCCATTAAAGGGTTTAGCATCTTTTCAAAATCAGAAAAATTAAAAAAATGTTGTAGATGAAAACCTTAAACATCTGTAGCACGCAATTTACACGTAATTTACACGCTAACGAAATAAGATACCTGTATATGGCGTGTTAATTTGTACAATGTTATATTACAGTAACTTTCCACAATTCTTTTGGATTTTAATGACAACGATACTAAACTAAAAGCATATAGCTTTAACAATACTTTAGGTCTAATAAGCAATTGTACAATACGTACACTAAGTTTTACTAAACCATGCATTTACCTTTAATATTACTTTAATAATATTTTGTTTTCACAATATATATATGCAAACACATGTATAAAACAATATATTTTCATGAAAAATAGCTCAGTATATTATTTAAATAGTATGTTATTTAATTTTGGACTACTAATATTACAAGACTTTTTATAAATGTTTCGAAAAACGTAACGTCAATACAAAGTCAAAATGACCATATTTTTAAAAATTTAACATGAATGAGCAAATTGTCACAAAACAAAATAAAGACGAATTTTCAAAGACATTTCGTGACCACAGTTTCAAAATTCTAACGAAAAACAAAATTTTTACAACAGATGTTTACAATTGGTTGCCCTCAGTAAAATGTAAATGCGCGTTTTTTTCCCCTTGTATTTCCACATGTTAAAGAGCCGCGCGTCTGTTAGCGAGCGGCGATACCCAGGTGTTTTATGCTAATCTGCATACATAGATCACTAGTTGTTATGATTTTACCAAGTAGATATTAAAGAATTGTATGATTTTCTTCGCTGAGATAATTAGTCGCACGTTGCTGGGGTTTCAGAAAACATTCCAGGAAGAAGCACGTTCGTGACGTGAGACTGGGGCACTGTTAATTTCTGCAAAGATGAGGGGGAGGTCTCTTTTTCTACATTGGAATTTGTAGCTCTCTTAAATGTTTTTGGCCGTAGAAAACAATGCGAAACGTTAAGGTATTAGAAAATTCAAAATATGTCATTTTTCTATAGTGAATGATGTTAGGTTGCGACAAGCAAACTTCTTATCAAGTTGTTCATTATTTTTGGCCGATTTCGAATATTTCACACTACGGTATGAAAACGTCCCTCTGTTAAGATCTGTGTGGTAGCAAGCATGGATTTATTAACCTTGACACAAAAACTAATGAAAACTAAACAAACGTGTATAAATACTAGAAATCCTAAATAAATTCTACCAAAATCTTCTCAAAAATCAATCAAAAACGCATCTGATTAAATCAGTTTCTCACATTGTCACAGGAAAGAAAACGGTACCCAATTTCAACCAAAGAGGACCCCCAAATTCTTTTCCTATTATCCCCACCTCATTACGAATGAGAGGGTCTTTAATACATCTTTAATGTCTCTGGAAGTAAGGACATCGTCATTCTGAATTTCTTTTATCCTTCATATCCCATTCTAGCAACATCCATTTTCGTTCAATCCCCTCCTTTAATAATGATAATTTAAAGCCAGTAAAACCTCGATTGGACTTGAGAATGGGGGCACCAGGGTAAAAACGAAGTTCACGTTTACAAAACAATGATGAGAGAAAGAAAAAAAATAAAGGCTTGGCAAACCTTCAACAAAGCGTACAAATTAGACAGGATATCTAGCTAGATGTACACAAAATCATATTTAATTGCAGTTCTTGTAGATATTACACTTAAAACGTCTCCCCTTCTCGATTAATTTGGAATTATTAATGCTGTCTTTGTAAAATTATACCCCATTTTTACAATTCATTTCGAATCAGACGCAGATTTCTTTCAGTGAAAGCGAGAAAGCAAATATACTCTGGTAATTGGTTCTTCGAGAAAAAAGCGAACTATTGCTTTCAATGAATTGCATTATGTTTTCAAGTTGTTAATTCGATCCTCTAGGTGTGAAAGGAACTGTGTGTAATCTGTTTCCGGAAAATCTTATCCAAACACAGTTCGAATACTAGAAGACAGTGGACGAATCTCGCTCTCATTTAGAGATTCAGTCTAAATCACATAATTAAATTGAAATGTTTGTAAAATTTGAGAAAGATCGCCGTTTGTGTTTTAAATTTTAGTCAAAAGTATTTTATTGGTTAACTAAATGCAACGTTGGATTAATGTCATGAGCAAAAAATATCTTTAAAAGAAGAGATAATTTGTTATAGCTTATGTTTAGCTGAATTTTCCTTCTTTGCTTGCTTTTACCTCTGGTATAACTATTATAAAAGGTTAAATATGTATCTACTGTATATACCAATACTAATTTTAAGCTGAATATTTACTGAAAATTTTGATTTATTTTACGTGTACTGTATTTCTTATTTCTTTGTTTGCACATTACAAATTATTGCTTTCAAGCTTAGAATCTTAAAATTTTTGGATAAATGTAAATATAAAATTGTTTTGGTGTCAATTTCAGCTTGCAACTGCCATCCCGTGGGAGCCCTCGGAAAAATATGTAATCAAACTTCCGGTCAGTGCCCCTGTAAAGATGGCGTCATCGGAAGAACATGCAACCGTTGCCATAGTGACTACGATCAGACGGCATCGTTGATACAACCTTGTATCAGTAAGTATATCTTGTCATATTTTCCCCCTTTATCCGTTTTCTGATTTTGAATTCTGTCAAGCCTTTTGTTTGTGCTGACTTCTAGTCTATTTATATCATGTAGAAGTGCAGTATTTTCTATGGTTTGAACTTTTACAATCTTATGGATACATACAATATCTTGTTCAGCCTTTTGTGATACACGTATATGGTCAAAATTGAAAGCCATGATTATGTATATACTCTTTTTATTTCATCATTTTTATTACATTACGTAATTATTTATATTCTACTGATTCAGCTGGATGTACTTGCATTATTAACATTTAGAAAAATGATATTTAAAATCATACAAATTTTCTCAGTAACCATGTCATTGTGTTTTAATGTTTTAACGTTTCATATATTTCAATGCCATTCGATACTGAAGTGTTGTTATTCAAAAGTACAAAAAGATAAGAAATCTCGATCATATTATTCTGTTTTCAGTTGCAACGACGACAGCACCACCCTTTATAAATACTACCACAGATGGCGCTCCAACTAGTTAGTGATTAAGACATTTTGCGCATGCGTAGTCAAGACACTCTTATGACATCTGGCTAAAGACTTTTCTCACGATAAATTGCTTTCAAAAATGTAAAATACGCACTGGAAATAATATGTCGGGGCTTCTTTCACTCTCAATCTGGCATGAATAGAGTAGTAAGATATGGGTAATTAATGAATAGACAGATATGTCTGTAAAATATCGTATAATGGCGTAAGGTAAGACTACATAAGCATGACCAGAATCCATTAGTCTGCTCCATTTACTGGAGATGGATAAACAGCACGTCTAAGGCACTGATACTTGGTGTTTTTTTCAATGTATGACTTAAACGGGTGTGGTTGATGAACAACACGGCATGTTTTAGCAAATTTCAACACAAAAATGAAAATCTTTAACTCTTCTCTGTCTCCACAAGAATAATCTCTCTGCATGTCAGTTTCACTTTTGTCTTGGTTGGTGCTCGTTTTCATGTAGATCTACATGTTCTTGTTTCTATCATCTGCTTCCGGTTGTGTTCTCTTAAAAGTACCGAATCTTTATTTCACTGAGAATCGATGATATTGTGATAAAGGATTTGTATTCGCACTGCATAATGACAATTTGTGATAAGAAACCAAGTGACTATGCCAAAAGTGACTTGCTTGTTAAACTTAGCTACTGTGCTTTAACTTCTGAGTGCTCCATGTCGTGTTCGAATGGCTATTCAGTTATTTCCATTTTCTTATGAAATTATTAACGATTTATTTTAAAAAACATAATTATAATACTTGTATCTCTTTCTTCTTCGAAAACAGCTTTTATAATAAATATAAATTCTAAATGCAGTTTATTACACTTTATAATAAGTACCGTATGTTAAGATCTATGAATTGGATACTTTTATAGTTTAATGATATTTTTCCCCGGATTTCCAACACTCGTAAAACAAATTGCCACACGTTTAATTTCAGTTTGAGGAGGTTTTAACAGCTGAAGCAACTAATACTCTTTAGAATTCTGAGTGTGTTTGGGATGATAACGTGAATTTCACAAACAGAATTTGTTAGAACTCAATAAACTTATTGATAAAGCCAATAATTTATGACTTAGTGGCTAGATGAATAACATTCGAAATTTTGGAGATACAAGTTTTGACTTTAATATTTTCGAAGAATTCATTACCTTTATTCATTTCTTCTTTATCATGTTATTTTGCTTTTAATTCGTCCAACCAGTTTAATACAAAATTTATTTTTCTGTCTTTCAGAGAGACCAAAAACTACACCACCTGTTAAACCGCAGAGAAAAGACAGTAAGTTTTCAAAACTTTTGAGTACAGCAATGTGTTTTGTTTGATATAATGCAACTTATTGACAATCTGGTAGCTTGGATTGAGGGGAATTTGCTATGTTTTAATTCGAAACGTACTGGTGTCAAAAAACCATACAGACATTTGGGATTGAAAAATTCAACATTTAATAATAATACTATTAAATATAATGCATTAATAGTACAAAAAGCCCACCGATTTGTTGATTTTGCTGAACATTCTGCCATTTTCTTGTGGATCTTGAAGTACATTGTATACACCAATTGAAAGCTTTCTTCATTGCATTAGAGAGAGGTAGTTTGTCAAATTGTAAGAAAAGTTGTCATCAATATTTTTTTTACACCACTCTATAATTTTGCAATCTTTAGAGATATTTTCAAACTTTGTCAACGAATTCATTTGCTTCATTTTGTATAAAACCGTTATTTAATCAAAATGTACATCACAGCATAAAATATCTGAATGAGAAGTCAACACTCATTTGGAATTCCATCTATTTCGTTCAATGCAGACCCTTGAATGAAGCGTTCGGGTTTGATATCCAAAAATGCCACTGAAATATTATACAAGTATTTAGTAGATGATTACCTTTATTACATATAAGCAGACTTATGTTATGAAATCCGAGAAAAATTGTCTCATGTTACCTTTGTTACTTGATACTTCAGATCTTTGCTGTGAGGCCATAAAACATTGCCTTCAGAACTGTCTATCATCTCTTAATAATATTCTAGTGATTTCAAGATGTGGTTTGGGGTCTCAAAACCTTCGGTACATTTCTATCTAATTAAAACTCCACATTAAAGGAAATTTTCCTCATAGGATATTCTTAATTTGCTGTCTATACATTACCCGGAATATCACAGTTCACCTGATTTGGTTTTATGTCCGTCTTTGTTACAAAAACGATATTGTAATTTCCGATGTCTCAAAGACCATAGACCTGCCTCGGGTAATGCGACATGATTTTTCTACAACGTTTGAATTCCAAAAAAGGCTTAAAAATGTATTCCTTGATCAGTGCTAGAAGTACATTATTTTATATCCACTTATACAAAAAGAAAACCAGTTTGAATTTCGTCTATAAAAGTATAAATTAAATTACATACGGAATTTTATTCTTTGAAAAAGAAATAGGATACTAAAAGTTTTAGAGTGCATTGAACAAAGATAAAGGTATTTTTTGCATACTTTTGTCTTACATTATTACAAGTATAAGCTTACATGTATAGACCCACAGTCTCTTCAGATGCATTTGGAAAATATAAAATAATGATGTTGCTTTTGGCATTTTCTCTGAATTAACCAAGGTCTATTTCAATTCATTTTAGAGTGTTCGAAATGCAGAAAGAAACAGAAAAGACTAAACCTTCGCAAATTCTGTCGAAGAGATTATGGTACGTACATTTATTAAACGAGAAAGGACTTTTTTGTGTCACGCTTACAGCATTCATTTTATAAAGAAAATCAGTCACGACATATATTTCTTAAGGTATATTTCTTTATTAAGTAATCTTATTTTCCTTATAATTTTTAGCGATCCAGGCCAGTATACTGTCTCGCAAAACGGAAGGAGAGTGGGTGAAATATACCATCAATGTTATCAGTATATACAAACGCAATTCCCAACAGAAACGAGGCGAAACATTCCTATGGGTTCCCAAACGCGATGTGAAATGTAAATGTCCGAAACTACGGCTAGGCAGACGGTATTTCCTAATTGGTAGAATGCGGAACCCGTATGGAAAACCCGGAGGGTACATTGCAGATAAAAGTACAGTTGTGATTAGGCATCGGGAACGATGGCACAAAAGAATAAGATTATTCACAAGGAAAGAGAGAAGGGGAAAGTGTAATAGTTCAGATCGTAGGAAACGAACATAATGTATGAGCAGGATTTATGTCTTGATGGTTGTGAACAAATGAAAGCCAAACCAAAGATTTTTTACCAAACAGAATTATGTTTTGGTGGGTGCTGCAATTAAAGAATTGATATGGACGCCCTCTTAAACTACAAAGCACTTTTGATTGTGATTTTATTGCTTAAACAAAAGAGGACAACGTTTTAATCACAAGGTTATTCCGAAAAGGAAGTGACACGTGATTACCTGAGGTCATGTGACGTGTGAATATTACAGTGACAGCCAAAAGTTAAGACTGCCTTTTTATTCAAAAGTATTATCACATAGGACCTTTTCCACCGTTGACTCTTTTGTTTAATAAGAGAGACAAGAGAAAATTACTTTTTCAAGTCGGATTTCGTTTTCAGTTTGTAGACTTGAAGTTGAAATGGCGAACATTATGGATTGTGTTTATATTTTAATTTGTATATTTTGCCAAAGTAGATACATTTCGCTGTTCATTTCCACTTTGTTATAATGAAAAGCAAATTTGTTGTAAATAAGCTGTTTTATATGATGTAATACCGAATTTTCAGCACATGATATTAAGTACTTCATTTTGGGTAATATTTTTTGAATTAAGAGATGACGCACAATCAATTTCCTTAACGATTATTCTGCTCGAAATTTGATTTCGCAATATCGACGATAGTTCATGTTAATTAAATCACCATGATAAAGCGTGTTAATTTCTACTATTATGCTGAAACAAGGTTATTTCCTAATAGTACATTGTCATGTCAATTTCTAGGTATCGTAAAGACGCAGAAAATAGCTGCAATTTAGATTATGAAATGGAATACTCCGAGTCTTCGTGGTCAGTAAACGTTCTCGTGATGTCATAAGTTGTATTATTTATATTCATTTACTTATCTGTTGTAATTATTGTTCACATTATTTGTAATTAAATGTATTTTAATTAAGAAGGCTATAAATATCCGTCATTTCTTAAACCTCAACACGTGAACCCAAATAAAATTATTTGAAATATCGTTGCATTTTTTCTGATTTCTATCCATTAGTTTCTATTTTGGAACAAAATTGGGAAAGTTTATCAAGACATGTCATAACAAAATATAACGGTTTATAAAAGGAAACAATTATGATACAGATTTTTTGTCATTTTATCCGAAGTCTGTGCAATACTAAGCACATAAGAGACATTGAAGAAAAAATTTTCCCAAATGTTCCAAAATAAACCTGAATATTGGTTCAGAGAAATATGCATAAAACTCTGATTTCATATAAAATTCAGAAAAAATTAAGAGCTATTGGAATAGAAATGTATAGAGCATCCAAGCAAACACAAACTTTCTCAAGATGTTTACACTCGTTGAAATTTTGATCAAGCGTTTTATAAGATAAATGCGGTGATGTAAATCAAATTCTAGGAAAATGTACGTTAGAACAAAACTGCAAAATTTAATCGTCTTTAGAATTTTGCTTTTTGGGGGTTAATATTAAGCAATTTTACAAAGGATTTATTGGACATTTTTAACCCTTATTAGATTAACAGTAGCATGGAAAACCTGCTAAGACTAGCACCTGGGGTGCGTTCTAGAGGACTATCAAAAGTGTCTTATCACCTACCACATCGAACGCACCCTTTTGATCTGGAGGTAGCATATTTATCTTTTAAGAATTGGGAATCTTGGGTACATTTTAAGGTGGTAGAAGATTAACCCGATATTTGCTAAATTTGTCTTCTTTTTACCCGAAAAAGCCCTCAAAAGCGCAGTTTAAATATACTCTTAGTCCATAAAACACGTAACAGTGTGTGATAGGTCTTCGAGGCTTAAGACTATGTGTTTTTGTTCAATCCACACTCAAAACTCCTTGAATGTTAATCTCTATTACCTGTTGAACAAGTATTATAAATTCTTCTTTAAAAAAGACACTTAATAAAATTCCAGGCGATTGATTTCGTGGAGACAAAAAAATATTTGATATCACTATGGTTGAAAGATCTCATATTCAACTTTCTTCTTGACTTTTATAATTTATGTCATCTTGTAATCAGATATTCATATTTCCTCAGATAATAAAACATAAACACGATGAATAGTCAGTCATCCATTTACCTTAATATACTGATAAGTATCGAAATATACAACAAATTGTATTTAATAATTTGACGTATGAGGTTTTATTCAACAACTTCTTTGTAAATTGATACTTTTCAACCCAACGAACACTTATAAAATATTTCATGCCGATTAGAATCGCTCATTGGAATTTCAGATCCATTAAAATCCACTTCCTAAATATTGGGTGCTGGTGGAAGTTGGCATTATGAACGAATGTATGATGTTGTAAACACTTTACGTATTGTTCCATCGATTTCTCTTAAAATGAAAGAAAATAAATCATACAGTTATCTAAAGTTTGTGGTTTCCAAAGCAAAACATGGACATTGGTCTTTATTATATACCGGGTACTAGCTAGTATAGCACTTTTGGTACCTTTTAATTCAGGCTTCGATTGAGATATATATCTGTGGTTTACAAGGAGAAAACATACTATTACGACCTCCTTCTTTATGTTTTGATCAGACAGATAAATGGGTTTTACCACAGCAAAAAATTGGACTTTGCAGTTGTATACATATGGAAGCAGGGAAAGGTTCATTTTGTGAGCTTATTGATCACAGTACTTCTTGTTGTTGTTTTTTTTACTTACTTTGATCATGCAGCTGAATCCATTGTATTATAATTTTTGCGTTCAAACATTTATAGAGGATAAATAAGCACAAAAGAGTTTAGATTTTGGTCATCATGGTCAATGCTTAGGGGGACTTATCTTCAATATATACCTTTTTCCGATATAAATGTTCAGAACGTATTCTTCCGAAGTCTCTTAGTTGAACAACACTACTATATATGATAAGTTAAGGCACTGGAACCCTTTGATAAGTGTAACCCTTAACTTTTCCTACAATAGGAAAGTGAAATTGAACACTGCAGATCGTAAAAATATCATTTCAATTCAGTTTACAGAGAGATGAAAAGAAGATTGAAATACATACAACTTTCCATAGAACTTTCATTGAAACATGAAATATAAATGCATATACAATCAGTGTCCCCTTCCACTGTACAATAACATGATGTATCTGTTGAATTACTTTATACTCAACTGATTTTTGATGCAATGAGAAAAAAGAATTGAAGTGCATGGTATGTGATATTTTGAACACTTTTTTTTTTGGTTCCTTTATTGTGAAAAAACTGTTTTAATAACAGATAAGGGTTCCCTTAGAAGTATGCACCCTCCATCTGATTTTAACATGATCAACTTGTCATCAAGTAGTAATGTTAAGTGTATCAAACTCTTGTATCAAAATTTAGTGTGTTTATTCTAAGAAATCGGTAGCTTTTAGTGCTATATGACATATATCAATTTGCAAAGTGTTAAAATCAAGGATAAACAACATATAATAATTTGTTTGCTTTAGAATGTACCCTCGATTGAAATCAATAATAATTATCATATTACTTTTTTTCATTCTTAAAGTTGATACTTTTTGAAGGTGTTATAAAATCAATTAAAATGACAGACAGTACTGATTATTTCGTTTCTAGATTTTTCCTTGCAATGTATTATCTCAATGTTGGTAATGCAATTGCAATTCTAAAAGTTTATCCTGTTATCTTGAAAAGAATACATCATTGAAAGCTTTTAGATTATCTCTTGTTAACGAGCAAAAAGACACAAACTGACAGTCTTTCAGACAATATGTCTGCAATAGAAATTTCAATCTCTGTCCTAAAACAGGTTGGCATGGTAACATATCAAGGAAAGTCCAGACACAGCTTTCACAATTAATGTTTTTCGTATTTATTGTTCAAGATGATCGAAAACAAACCCACGCTTTACTTATAACGACGGAACACCTTAGACATATATCATCTGTAAAAAGGTAAGTTAACATTGATAACAAAAAGATCCAAATACAATTGCTAACAATTTTGGCGAGTTGGTTCTTCACAAAGTTTATTTGTTTAACAACGTCACTGATAAGTGTCTGAAGTATTGGTTCATAACTTTCCTGCAATTAGCCTTTCCACCGGCACACAGAATTCAATTACGCAAGTGATGACAATCGAACGCTCTTATAGCTTTGCGCGCTAAACGGATATCTGTTCAACATCTCTTCGCAATTTATATCTCCAAAAAGCAGTTGAAAAAAGATAGACTTGACTCTTTTGTAATATTTTTTTCTTTTCGATTACATGTTATTTGATGCATATAAGAATATAAAATAACCGGGAATATCAAAGAAATTTAGCTGTATTTTTTCCTAACGTTAACACGGGTAAAAATGTCAATATTTTTAAAAGGGATAGTAAAAGTAGATGAGTGTGTAATTTAAAGAGTTTATTTCTAAATTCAGATGGTAGCTAGTAAGTGATTTCTTGGATTTATTATAAAAGAATGACTATCATTTGATTTAAGAGGAGGACGAAGGATTGAAGATGGAAAACCAATTTCGCATGCCATACCTTTCCATAATTGCTATTCAAGAGGCTAGATATCTTATAATTATTTCTTTTGAAGTTTTCAGCTTATTCAAGGTCATTTGATACATAATATATGTACCTAGGAAACACAGCTTGTCAGTGGTTTATCCATTTGCCCATTCAGAGGATACTTTCCGTACATTGAGCTGTATTACTTTCAAGGATATGTCATATATATATTTGAACTTTTCTATGGCATTGTTTTATATTAATTAATGCTTATGTACAAACATGTACCTCGTAGTGACTTGAAAGTCAATTTCAAACATTTTAATCTGGGACGTTTCTATACTTCATAAACAGGAGGATATTCACTCTATACAGGAAGAGGGAATACAGACATATTCAAATAAACTATTGAGGACAGATTAGCGATATCCGTATTGGAAACTGCTTTCGATCTTTTTTCCTGTCATTACTAACATGTATACAGTCATTGTCATTTTATGCACAACTTGTCATTTAGCCATTTCCTGATGTAATATAGACATATTTTCTTGCTATGACAAAAGTGCAGTGGCAGTTATTTCGCAAAAAGTGGGAACTCTTAATCATTATGTTTGAATCATAAACCATTTAATGTTAGTGTAGGTTGAAGGTCCTTTCCGATGTAATCCTCTTCTGAATAATAACGGAATAATAAAAGTAATAGAGATTGTCCTATTCATTAAGGGAAGGTATTCCAACTAAACAAATGTAGCTGTAATTGGATTCATCTCGAATGACTCGTAGGTGGAGGCCAAAATTTTACAAAAACCTAAAAAATTTCAAGAGCGATAAAAGTAAAAATTGAAACTTAGATCGTTCGCTCATCAGATCCGTACTGATGTGACAATGTGACAATGGAGTACAATGCACAATCAAGAAGATTTTCAAGTTTTGCCAGTTTTCTTTTGTAGATTGTGATTTCTTTCAGGGGGAAAGAAATTACAAGCTACAATAGTAACCTGCATCCCCTCCCTTTAAATTGTTGCCCTTGGTCTGTTGTATTGAGTCTACTTAAAAAATGTTATTCTTTTCAAAATTCTGAGAAAAAATATTATCCGTGAAATAATTACGATTTATATTGCACGCTTCAATGAAACACACGGAGATAACTAACAGTATTCAAAATCAAAAGTCTACAGAACAATACAAAATAGGAGCAGAGCAAACACGGACCTCCAAAACATCGGTGGTGGGATCAGGTGCCATGGAAATTTAATATCCAGACAGATACTCATTTCAAATTATTTCTATTGATGTATTGGTAGCTACATGCGTCATATTTTTTCAGCTGCATTTCGGCATTTCCGATGAATTTTTAATAAATTTATGTAGCATTCACATTGTATCCAGATATGCGTGTACATCCGACTTGTTTTTTCTATTAAAATTGAGATACAATAAATACTAGTATCTTCCCCGTTCATTTAGTTTATTGCAGCCCGGAGGACCGGGCTGCTCTATACATATAAGTTTAACTGTTAGTG